AGGTAAGACGTGAACACGCTCAGGTTGCTCGGTATCTCCCGGAGCCCCAGGTCCGAGCAGTCCACCCGGTGCAGCAGCCCGTCCACCTCGCAGCGACAGCGGCCAGGGCAGCCAGCTCGCCCCGCTCCTCGGTCCCCGTCCTCGGAGCTCTCCACCGCAGCCGCCGCTGTCCTCTCCTCCACGGCCACGGAGCTCTGCATCTCCACCGCGGCCACGGAGCTCCTTAACCCGGCCGAGAGGACTGCAAACACGGCCACCAGAGCCACAAACCCCGGCATGTCCTCCCCGGTTTAATGGCTTAAAAAAAGTTTCTCCAGTAAAAAAACAAAACAGAAACTCCGAAATAATAAAAACACAAACAAAGTTGCAGCTTTGGATCCGGATCACGTTGTGTTTGAGGTTCTTTGGTCTCTGGGAACAGTTCAGATTAACTTCATGTAATCTGGACTGAAAGTGGTTCACTAAGAGCAAAAAACTGAGAAATAAGAAGCTGTTTGAGTTGAAGTCTGCAGTTTGGTCGCTTTCCAGGCTGCACGCGTGGAGCAGAGTGTGTGTGAGTGTGTGTGTGTGTGTGTGTGTGAATGAGTGTGTGTGAGTCCCTCTCCTCACACTACAACAGTGTGTCAGCCCCGTTTACTTTTATATCCTCTGTCACTGTCTGTCTGTCTGTCTCTGCCTCTGTCTGTGGTAACAACAGCTGAACAGCTAAACAAAAAATGTCCAAAAGTAAACAAGCAAAACACTTTTATTTGTTTGTTTATGTTTATTTTGAGAAGGAAGATTAAGAATAATACAAAATAACTTTCAAATGACACAAACTCAATGAATTTATCCACAAAAATAACACAAATTAAATCCTAAATGTTCTAAAAAGAGTAGGAAGTGTATATATATATTGTTTTAAAGACAACCTTTACTGTATATCAGTGTTTCCCAACCTTTATCCTCAAGGGAGCCCTTTAATATCAGTGAGTAAACTGACTACATATTTCATATTATATTCAATAATAACAATAACTGCAGGAAGTTTGTGTAAAACCAGAAATTTAATTTCCTGTAGACCCACTGGAACTTCTTAAGAACCCTTGTATACATATTGAAATAATAAGTCTTTATTGATCCCAAACCGGGCAAATTCACTTGTTACAGCCACTCCAGATACAACAGAACACAACAGATAAAATAAAAATAGAACAGAAAATTAAAGCTGCAAGCAGCGATGATCCAAAGTCCCTAGGAGGAGTTTGTTAAAATATTGCGGAAAATTACAACTAAATTCTAAATGGCCGACTTCCTGTTGGGTTTCGGGTATTGGTCCAAGAGGCTTTTCTGCTTGTCTGGTCATAATACACGTGAATACCAATTTTCATACATGTTGGTCATACGTGTCTTCGGGGCTGATTCTGGGGAGCATGCTAAGGCCTCCAAAATGGGATTATTTTATATAATAATAAGTCTCTACAGGTTTCTGGGGTTACACTTACATATAACTATTACTGTTATTTTAAGGCATTATCTTGTTGATTCCCCCAAACTGTTATGGCTGACAGACACTGGTTTGAGACTACGACCCCACTGAGTTTCCATAAGGGACACCAGTGAGCCAATGAATGCTCCTGTTTCAGCTGTTTTAATATGTTGTTCCCTAAAAAACATAGTAAAGAGAGAGAAAGAGAAGCAATGAGCCCTGGGACAGTTCTCTCTGGCCGTGATGAGGTCTTTCTCACTAACCCCTGACCCTGAGGCCAGAAGGGGAGGAAGCACATGGTGTACGTCTCCTCTGATGGATCGCCTCAACCAGAGCTGCCAGGAGTTGTTTGGTGAGTTGGACGAGGAACCGCCGACCTCCTGTTCCTGCTGGGGACAAACATATTTGTTCGGAGTTTGCCCAGTCGGCTGAATCTTTACGCTCAGACCAGAGACCAACCTGACTCCTCTGAGGAAGAACCTACATCTCACTGACCAGGTTGTGGCTCCTGAGCTTGATCCCTGTGTAGAGGAAGAGGGAGGACGCTTGTTCTCAGTTTCTCTACAACACAAAGAGTCATCAGAGTCTGGAACAAGCTCGCTTTGCACTCCCTCTGCTCACAGGAGCTTCCCTGAATTTCTTAAATAAAGCTCCCCAGCTCCTCTTCTCATTGGTTCCACCTATGAAGAGTCTCCGTCGATGGCTGAAGGCCTCATGGCGAGGTACGAGAGGGCAGAGAGGAACCTCCTGAATTGATGTACGTGGACCAGGGCTGCTGAGTGGGCCCAGAGCGGCGTGGTGGTGCAGCTCGACCTTGACCTTCACGATCGCAGCGTCCAGCAGTTTGACACCTCTCCTCAGCACGCTGCTGTAATGAAGCTGTTATGCAATAGCCTTGTTGTTTTATATGTGACTCACATTAAATCTTCACTCTTTGGACATGAAAGATTATGAAAAGATGAAAAATCAGAAGCTTTATAGGACAGTTTACATTTTATAATGAGTCAGTGGAACAAACTGTAATTAAATCTCCTGTATTTAAAACACTGAACTCATTTAAGTTCATTTAAAACAACTGAGTTACTTCATGCAATTAATGTTTGAGTTGGGTTTAATTAATGGGAGGATTAAGTTTATTAAAATATGCTTTATAGGTTTTACAGTCTATATGTGAAATGATTTTCATATGAAGGTAAATGTGAATTTGGGACATTTCACATGTGGGAACGTTAATTTCTTACTTTTATTAAAAACAACAACCTCTCAGTGAATCTTTAAATAATTTTTATTGATTTGAAGGACCAGTCTGTAGGATTTAATCAGGCATGAACTAGAAACTACGTCTCTTCTGTTGGGCTTATTACTCAAAGAAATTATTAAATAACTCTTTTCAAAAGTAATATTATTTCTTTACTTATTATTACCTCCCAACCGTAATCTAATTATACTACTAATTATATTACTTTTCCCACAAAATATGAAATTGTTTTCTTTCTCCCACAAAATTACGACGATTAAAATCCAGTTTTGTTTGTTAAAATAAAAATAATGTGAATGTTCTTCCAAACTAGTTTCCTCTTTGATTATGAAAATAAATCCACCGATGTGACTAAATGTTGGATTTCAAATCAGTAGAGACAACTAAAGTAATGTAACTAATTATTTTTTGGGAGGTAACTATAATAAATGTAATAGTAAAAGTTATTAGTAATTAGTTACACTGCTAGATACTGGGACCGGTTCCCCCGTAAAACACTTGTACACTGTTTTAAAATGTGGTATTGTTATCTGAATATTACTCAGATATGAACAAACAAACCTTTGAGGTGACACACACACACACACACACTGAGCTCTGGTTAATGATTGGCTCTCTTTTACTTTGTTTTACACCTCTGACTTCCTGTGAATGTGTTTGATTATCTAGAAGAAAGACAGTGACTCGTTTTATGATCATCTTGGAGGGGTTAGATATGAAGATGGTTATCACACACACACACACACACACACACACACACACACACACACACACACACACACACACACACACACACACACTGAAGCAATGATGCAACTGTCTACAGGGTGAGGCAATCTGTCTGTTTAATTAAAGGAATACTTCAACATTTTTGGGGGGTTTAAAGGGCCAGTATGTAGGATTCAGGATGGCGGACTCCGCCAGAAGAGGACCCACCCCCTCTGTAGATAAAAACATTCTAAGGTAACAAAAATTGATTATTAATAATAATAATCAATAATAGTGATTATTATACGCATATAATAAAACTCTGATTATTATATTCAAACTACGTCAGCCAGCAGCTGGTTGGCTTAGCTTGGCATAAAGACTGGAGGCAGAGGAACTGTTTGTACTGTGTGCAACGTGAATTCATTGATTGACTTTACTAAAAAAAACACAAACACAGAGTTACTGAAACACTTTGACAACAGACAAGAATTAAAAATGTAAAAAATGAAAATCCTTGTTCTTCCAACACAAGTAACGTAACTAATTATTTTTCGGGAGTAACTGTAATATTATGTATTAGTAATTAGTTACACAACTAGTGACTGAGGAAAGTACTGCTGTTAATCATAAAGTTAAAAGAAATAAAAGGCTTTAAGTTTGAAGAATTGGTGATAAATACATGAATAAGTAGAAAACTCCTGGAAAATAAAATCTTCATATATCATTTAAAATGTTTTACAGTTGAGAAATTAATGATTTGACACTTTTCTATTATTATTAGTGCTGATTTCAGATCAGTTTTAATGGCTCTGATGCTTCTTTGTGTGTTTGTTTCATTGTCAGTCAGACTCTGACCTCTAGTGGCTGTTTGGTTGCATTGCAGCCACAGAAACACGAGGCTGTGATCACAAAACTCTTTTTTTATGTTTGTATTGTGATAATAAACCGACTTTAAAGGTTTAAAGAGGTTTTTTAAGTTCCAAAGGAGAATAAATCATATTTTTCTTCTTTTTCTTCCAGTTTTCGCAGTTTTTGGGGAGTTTTTCTTGCCTGAATCGAGGGTCTGAGGCAACTTTTATCGGTTTGGGGCTGCTGCTGGTATTGAAATCTCATCAGAGGGCCACCTTAACACTCAAATTCTACAAAAAAGTGCAATATTTTTTAATTATTTCCATCACTAACATCATACTTAATGGTCCAGTGTGTAACATTTAGTCAGAGGTTTAAAGTAAGAAAGTACAAATACTGTTTCTGTACTTAAGTAGTTTTCAGGTATCTGTACTTTGTTTTTCCAACATTTATACTCAAATATCTGTATTTTCTACTCCTTATATTTTCAAAAACAGGCTAATTACTTTAGTTTTAATGCAGCTGAGGACCTTTCCAACATCAAGACCAGAATCACGTATGACAGACGTAAGAAGATGAAGATTATTTGAAGTTTCAGTTGGCGTTTCCAGAAGGGGAGGTTAATTATCTTTACTTCCTCCACTCCGCTCCGTCTTTCAGAGGATGTACTGGGCTCTGTAGTTTTTAGACCCGATCATTATAAATAAACTATTATCAATCATACAAGATGTGTTTAAACCTTCATTCAGCGACAATCTAGAGTTCAAATATTGATAATATTATATTTTATCTTTTTTTATAAGTCAGGCAGAACTCTAACCAGTATACATTGTGGTGCTGCTGATCAATTCTGCACAGGCCTGGATCCTCGTCAGCGAGCCTAATGTGATATTTCTGCTTGGGGTATCTGAATATTTCTGCAGACAGGGTTGGAATTACATACATCGGGACAAAAGTCTGAAACGCCCCGAAGTCCTCGAACGCTGCTCTTCTAGTGGATCAAAACAAGATAAAAAACAAATATGAGTGTTTATTTCTATATGCTGTTATTGATGGTTCTTAATGTTTGATTCCTGCTGTTTTTACTCTGTAAAGCACTTTGTAAAACTAATTTTGCTACATAAAGTTTATTATTCTTTATTATCCATTTCTGCAATAGAAATGTTGGACACTGAACTTTTAAAATAGTGTTGAGTGATGACATCCGTGTGCTGAAAAGTCTCAACAGTTCTACAGAAAATGAGTTTAACACCAACCAGTGTTCATTAGTTCATTTATTTGGCATTTTAAAGATATATTTAAACTTCATTCCTCATAATATTTGCATAAAACTCCAAAGTTCAGCTTTTATATAAAAAAAAATCAAAAGCATTTAAATCTGTAACTTCAGAAACGAGCAAAATTAAAAACAAAAACAAAAAAAAGAGCCACGTGGTAAAATTCAGTTAGCTGGAAAACGAATGTTCGATTACAACCTTTCAACACATTTTACATAAAGTTATTATCCAACAGTGAGGAGCTGATGAACGGAAGAAACAGGAGTTATTAGTGATCTTCAAGGTCCTCCAGAGGGCAGCAGAGTCTTTAAGGTCTCTTCTTCCTGCAGATGATCTGAAGGAGGCGGTTCCATACGCTCACAGGTCGACGAGGCCATCCTGTACGGATCCGAACTAAAGAACGACTGTTGTTAAAGCAGAGCGTGAGGACACATACGATGTTAAAGATGGTTTCTGTGGGTTGCTTTTGTGGCTGCTCAGACAAAGTCTCTGGACTTCTTAATGGCACAGCAGAGCATCATGCTGAAGATCATCCCAAAGATCTGAGGAGGAGAAATAAAGGGTTAAAACCAACTGATGCAGCAGAGACGGTCAATTAATAATCAATACTTACATTTTATGAAGATTCATCTCTCAATATTATCAATGTTTATTCATTACACTTCTGCTCATCACTTACTGTAATATCTTATTTCTATCTTATATACTTTGTCATATATTGTATTATAATGTTCATATTTCAGACTCTTATTTCCATGTTTGTTGTTATATATTATAATGCATATAATTAAAAATATATGTCTTTAATGTCTTGTGAGCACCGTGAGCAAAGAAACATGCAGCTCAAAGTCTTTTACAGTTAACGATAAATAAAACTAATAGATCAATTATTAAAAATAGGTATATTCAAGTTCAAAAAATACCCTGTGGTGCAATAAAAATACTAAAACAACCGGTTCTCAAACTACAGTATGTCAACAAACAGGTGGCACAAAGAGGAACTATTGAGAAATATAAACATTATTAAATGAAATAAATCAATTTAAAACCATTAAAATACTTAAACTATGAGAAACCACTGCAATCATCCAACGACTCATATTTAAATTAACGACATCCACATTTGTTTGGACCCTTTAGATTTTCTGCAGGTGAAGTTTGTGTGTCCAGGAAGTAATGGAAGATAAAGTATGTTTGAAGGTACCGTCAGTGTCTATCTGTGCACAGAGTATCAGAGTTCTGGTCTCACCATGATGATACCGATACCGATGCCGACCCCTCCGATGATGTGCAGTTTGTTGTTGAACATCTCGTCGATCGCAGCCGGACAGCTCTGATAGAAGAGCAAATACATTCATTTAATAAAAAGAGACTTTAAAAAGATTTTATTCAGTGCAGAAAATTAACAACTGTCATGATTTCTAAACCGAAAATATATCAAAAAATAAAAACATCAGATAAACAAAGTTGTATTTACACATTTTGGAGAATAGACCTTTTTCACAGCAGCCATTTTGACATGAAATAGTGTGTTGTGTTTACTATGTCAAAATGGCTGCTGTGAAAAAAGGTCTCAGTGAGACTCCCTGGTAATTAGGTATTAAATATTAAAACAAACTCTCAGTGAACGACTGCATTAAGTGACCATCACTGTGGTGCCTCTGTGTGACCTCCGCCCCTGTATAAGTCAGTCAGAAACCCCGTCCCTGTGTCGCGTTACCGTGGTGATGAGGACCTCCAGTCCATCCTTCTTGGGGCAGATATCTCTGGCGGCGTCGATCACCGTCCCCGTGGGGCCGCAGCAGTTCAGCTGTGACGAGGAAACGACGACACAACTTTTAATTTCCTCCAGTGAGAAATACTTTGATTTTATTTGATGTTTATTTATTCTGAAAAGCACTTTGGAAGATTACATTTGTGTTGATTTTTAGTATTTAAATTTTCAGTTAATGAAATTTTGGCTTTTTCACACGCAGGAAAAACAACCAACATGTATTTGTTTGATATTTTACACCCATTTAAAAAGGGTTAAGGGACAACCATTAGAAATTAGCTGTAGCTATAAATCAGGATTCCTACACATCCTGGAAAAGTAACTGAATAACTTACATCATGGAAACACCTGGAAATTCATTAAAATATCCTGGAAATAATCTATGTTGTCCTGGAAAGTGTTTTTTATTTCAGCCCGTCAGATTGTCAACGTAAACCTGAGTTTGAGGGAAATTGTCGTAAACTGTAGTCAGAGAGAAGCTCTTAAATCTTAAATACAAAGTACAGCGGAGTCTGAGGAGCAGTTATTTGGTCATGAATCAAAGATCTAGACAAACTCACACACCAGAGGATGGCGCTAGAGTTAAAGTTACAGGAACAGAGTGTGTGTGTGTGTGTGTGTGTGTGTGTGTGTGTGTGTGTGTGTGTGTCGTTCTCACCCCAAAGTGGATTAGACGCAGCGTCTCCTTCAGTGCTTCCTGTCTGGTGTCTTTATAGTTGCTGTAGGTCAGTTTATAGAACTCTGTAACGTCCTCCACCACCTGAACACACACAGACAAACTCCATTAACACAGACAGTGTTTAGTTTCTGCCACTAGGGGGCGTCTCACTTGAAAACAATAAGAAAAGAGGACATTTGTTGAGGTGGTGAAGCAGTGTGGGATCATGGGAGTTGTTGTCTTCACCACCATTGGCGCATTGCAGTCAGCTTCTCCCGGTTAGGATTCCTTCAGTGTTCATGGTTCAGGAGGTTTCTACCGGGAGCCCAATGATCCACAGAGGTCTCCTCCTCTCCAACACAAACAGACCCGCTGATTAAAACCACTAAACCCACTGAATAAAGCAGTTCCACCTTAAACACACTGAATAAAGCAGTTCCACCTTAAACACACTGAATAAAGCAGTTCCACCTTAACAATCACTGCTTCTCCCACGCTGTTGGACAGACAAAGGACGTCCCGGAGGGGCTGCGAGCCGAGCTGCTGCTAACGTTAGCTCAGCTTGTTTCTCTGATAACTTAAGATCCAGACGTCCGATGACTAAAATCCTTCATCCGGTTCAAATCTAGAGTTAAAAAGCACCAAGATCTAAACAGTGGATGGTAACAATGTGGCTTCAGTCTGGATCAACAGTCAATGTATGACAGCTTCTGGCAGACAACCACAAAAAGAAGACGTGTGTGTGTGTGTGTGTGTGTGTGTGTGTGTGTGTGTGTGTGTGTTTTACCCTGTCCTTGTTGGATAGGCCCCAGATCCCAGCAGCCACTTCCACAGCGAAGATGAGGAGCAGGAAGAAGAAGAACTAAAAGAAAACAAAGAGTCAGTTTTTCATGTTTCTGGATTCTCGTCTGTTTACGTTCATTCCTTCACTTTTACTCTCCGACTCGTTTCCTACATTTTCCCTGATGCTCGATAAAAACAGAGGCGGACTGAATCAGAGTAAAAAATACCCTTGTCTAGAGTCGACTCACCAATCCCAGCATGCAAGGCGACTCCTTAATGGCTCCGCAGCATCCCAGGAAGCCCACGACCATCATCAGAGCCCCCGCCGCGATCAGGATGTACACACCTACACAACAACAACAACAACACATTCACACAGTGATATAACACTGCAGAGCTCCTCTTCATTAACACAGACACTAAAATATGAGTCTAAACATCAGGATGCAACGTCTACTTGATGAAGTCTTGTTTTACAGAAGATTCAGGGATGTGAGTGAGGAGCTCAAACACAAGTAAAAGTTTCCAGAACAGCAGATTATTTCCAGGATTTTTGATCATTAACTAGTCTCTTAATTTCCAGGTTTTCCAGGATTAAAGCCATTAGCTCCAAACTCAGGGTTCGTACACATTTTAAAAGACGTCCAAACTGACGAAGGACATCTGTTTAAAATATTTGTTTGACAATATTAAAAAGTCGACCCGAGTTTTGTTTTAAGAAACAGAAAAAGGACCAAAAAATCCCAGACTACAGCAAATTGCGTCATGTTTATATGATCGAACACACACACGCGCCACACACACACACACACACACACACACACACACACACGATATTATTGGGATCTAATTTTAGGAAAACTGGCCACAATATGCTTAAAATCCATCACAGAGCTCAGATTACATTCACACAGAAGGTGGACCTGAATCCTCCATAGCAGCCAGCAGTAATGATGCATTCACTGTCGTCACATACATTTATTGTCGAGCAGCGTTTTTGTGTCTCTGTTCTTTGTTCATTAACTTCTGTTTGAGGAACTCTGATTTGTTTTGGCAGCCTGAAGGTGAAATGTTGAGTTGAAAGGTAGAAAAAAAGCACAAACTAATTATTACGTTATGTTCTAGAGATGTTTGACAATCAGTTGTCGGTCAGAGATCCAGCTGTTAAACTCTATATTGATATTTATATTCTATCAGAGGTTATTTGTTTTTTTACTCTGATCTGTCTTGTGACCTTTCAGGCTGTTGTTGCTGTCTAGTATCTTATAAATCCACAGAATGCAGCAGGACACTTTTATTACATTTCTAAATCACATTAAATACCCGTATTACCAGGAACAATACAGCCCTAATATACACACAGACGCAGTGTATCTGATTTGCTTACAGTTCGTCATCATCTGCTTCTTCGTCACGTTAATTTGCATCAGAAATTTACATCAAAGCTTGTTTAGTTCGAGGGAACTGACGTCTCTCTACTCCTGTAAGTTATAAAAATACAGGCAGTGACCAGATGAGAATGGACAGGGAGTTCAGAGAGAGCCAATTACTCTGAGTTCTCCCGCTCTTTTTAAGAAATCATTATTCCTGTCCTGCATCTCCAGGTTTTTCCAGGACACTCAGGAATTCTGAGCTGTGTTGATAAGACGCATGAACCCTTACACACAGGTGACAGGTGTGTTTCATGTAGATAAGATCATTCAGTTGAGGAGACGACGAACTCATTTAAGATATTTATCTAATTCCTCGCGCAGTGGCGGCTGCCGTCATCAAACAGGTTGAATTACATCAACAGCGTGTTATTTATGGGAGCGTTATCAGTGCAATACATGAGTGAAAACACATATTGTGGAAAGGAATTACAGCCCGAGCGATCAGATCACAGATTCAGAGTGTGACAAATAAACAACTGAGCTACTAATAAAAATAAAAAAAGAGGATTCTCTCATTTTATTAAGCAGCAGCTTGTATCTCTGTTATGTTAATTTGATTATGTTAATTGTTCATGACAATGTGGAACCGCTCCTGTCTCACCAATCAGCCTGAAAAGTGATTTATGAATGAGATTATTACTGTTATAACTATAACAGTTCATTTTCAGGACAAACAGGACAAGATTGTGGATTTCTGCTCATAAATTGGGGATTGTCTATTCATCCTAATCCAGGCAGATACTTCACAAGATGTGTTTCAGTAATCTCCTCTGGATGTTGGTTATGGATCAATAAAGCCATAAATCACACCGTGGTAACGCGGCCATGTTCTTTTCCAAACAGCCATAAAAACAGAAGTGATTTCAGAGCCAATAAACTTTGTTGTTGTTGTCGTCCTTAATGTGGCTTTTTGTGATGAATCATACCAACAACCACAGCACTGATGTCACGGCTACAGTCACCACACAAATATTCCTCCTCCTCCTCTTCCTCCCGAGCTGTTATTAAGATGTTTGTCATTTTAAAAAAAAAAACAATCCTCTGTCGCCCGACCGCCCACTGCGCTTATCGGTTTTGATGGAAGCGAAACACAAAAGAGATGAAGGGATGGAGGCCGGCTCCGTCTCTCAGCGAGATCCTCGGAGGAGAACACAAAGACGTCCCTGTCAACTGACGAAGAATGAAAGCTATGTGAGGAAGGCTCTGCCAGGCTGGAGGAGCCGCCGCTGCCTCGCTGTGGACTAACTTTGGCCTCAGCTGGCCTCTGTAGCTTGTTTCTGCCATCAGGTTGTTCCTGTTGTAGCAGTCGCTGATAATGAAGCAGCATCCAAAAAGGTCACATCTGACAGTAAAGCAGCACACGAAACTTCAGCGATCCCTCAGGCAGCTTCCTGTCTGCGTTATATGTTCATCTTAAAGCTGCAGTCACTACCTGATGTCAAAAATCTTTTTATAACCGATTAAATGTTCAGGTCAAAATTGCAAAACATTCCTGACGTCCAGCTTCTCAAAAGTGAGGATCTGTTGCTTTTCTTCGTTATACAGCGTTTTAAAACTGAATGTCTTTGGGTTTCAGACATTTAAAAGACGTCACCTTGGACAGTCTTATTGGCAGCTGCTGTTTGCCGCCACTATACTCTGCCATATTGGGGAGGTCAACATCTGCTAGTTAATCACTGCAAAAATCGACTGCAACTCGATTAATTCTGGTCTGGTTTTCAAGAAACTTGGTTTGTTATAAACGGGAGAAATTGAATAATTTGATACTGGTTGGAATTGATTCAGTCACTAGGGTCAATATCAGCTCTAAGCCAACAAATTAACCTCCAGACAGCCACAAATTCCACCTAGAATTTGACCTTTTGGCAGTTTCTATGTGTTATATTGCTATAAATTGGTTGCTTGTTCTTGCCAGTTTCCTGTTAGACAGTAATTTGTGAGCATGTGTTGAGGCTTTATGCACAAGCTCACACACAAAGTTTTCATTCTGTAGTTTAGCCAAAGAGCTGCTCTGCATCGCAGTGGATGCTTTGAATATTTAGTCTGTTTGTCCAAGCTGTGACTCTTCACTGTTGGTGGTATAAAGCTGATTGTCTCTTCCCAGCAACTGAACTAATTCCTACAACTAAACAGTATCAGGGTTGATTTCTGACGTGTTTAACAAACCAAATTTCAGGAAAATCAGATCAGAAATAAAGTTTAGTGAAGTGGAAATCTTTGTTGTTAACTATTAAACTACCCAATACAAATCGCCTAGATACATGTCAGATGTAGAACGCAGTATCTGTGTTTCTGTTTCTTTACTCCAGATGATTGATAATGGTGACCTACAGTAACACGTGCATCGAGCTCTCCAAGACCAAAACAAAAGACTGTCAATGAACAAAACAGTCCGCCAATTGTTTGTCAAATGTAAGGAACATAAACAAATACACGACTATCATACAAATGATTATTTTGGCCGGTGGATTGAGGGCGGGACAGGAGAGGCAGGAAAAAGGGGAAAGAAGCGAGTTTGTAAGAGATCAGCGCCGGGGAGTCTGGCTAGCTCGCCAGTCATCCGTGTTTGCAAGCGAGCTAACATCAGCCAACTAAAACCACAACTTATTCCCCAAGCTCTGCAGTAATGTTAGTTTTGACTTTGGACATTTATTATTATTTTGTCTGGTGGATGTACCAGTGAGCTCGGCCGGTGAGTCACAGTTCATTTTGGGCCTTACCAGTGAAGAAGACGGTAGGCGCATCCTCCCCCTCAAACAGTCCGGCTGTCCTGGTGTCAAACCGCAGCCACAGACCCACAGCCAGCACCGCCGTACCTGCCAGCTGAGCGAGGAAGAAACACAAACACCTGAACAATGTGCCTGACACACTGAGCCCACAAGAACCTGATCAACCAGCTGCCAGGGTCACCAAAACCTCAGGGTCATTCATGGGGAAAGGAGTGTGTGTGTGTGTGTGTGTGTCCTGCTAGAAAGACTCAATGTCCACAGAAACCACAAAACACAAGTTTACATCAACTGTCACCCAAATAAATTCCCTAATGTCCCACAAAGCTGACATCTGTTGTTGTGCAATGAAGAGTGACACATGAAGTATTCACGCTAACTGGAAACACACACACACACACACACCACCCACACACGAGGAAGAACTCAGTTCAGACAGACATGAGTAAAACTGAATCACCACCTATACAGACGAAGGTTATTATAGTTAAATAAAACTTAAACTGGGTGTGAAAGAACATTTTAGTTGACCAAAAGTGAATTGAAATAAAATAAAAATATATACAGGAAGTGTCAGTTTTAGTCCAATTTATCAACATAATAAGCACATGAAGCTTTTGTTGTTATAATCAAACACTAAAATTAAAGTAACAAGCAGTGATGATCGTGTCGGGGTCCGATCAATTCCCCAGTTTGTTAAAATCAAACAACCACACCTAAAGATCTTCTCCTATGACCAAACATTGGTCAGAGTTCGGTGTAACAGTGTAGTGAGAGGGAGCAGGATTACACAAACACAGCATCATCCATCAAAACCTCCAAACGTCGCCTCGGGCTCAAACTGCTGCTGAACTACGGATCACATCTGTCAGAGTTTGAGTTATTATCGGCTTCATGATGAATGTGAAAAGGTGAAGTTACTGTACGCTCAGTTTGTTTAAGATTCATTTTACATTCAGTCATTTAACTTTATATAGAAGTGTATTTTTACACTGTTTGTTTGATCCCTAACTGCTGTATTTCAACTAGTTATTTCCACTTTGTTCAGTTGCACCATCCCTTCACACTTTACTCAGTCGACCGTATCAAAACACTTCAATAGGTGCAGTATGTATGTGGGGTAAAATGGGAGAGAAAGACACTCCAGCAGTAGAAGATGACTTAAAATACCCTAAATGTGTGTTGAAGAGAGCTCCGAGATACAGATTTGGGGAATCATGATGTTTTAACGTATCTTCCGACACTAATGTGCTCTGTGAATTATAGATGAACGGGGAAACTTCCGCGTCCTGCAGGATGAAAGGATGAAAGGGTGAATGGATATTGGTGTTAATGTGGAGCAAACACACTCAGGAGAGTTGTGTTGTTTGTGTAGCGGCAGCACTGAATCGTCTTAAGTGTCCTGGAAGAAACAGAGGCCGTTCCCCCTCGAGGTCCAACATTAGTTCTCATTAACCACTAAAGGCACTCTACGTCTGCCACCACTGACGCTACAACAACGTCTGCTAAAGAGGAAACTCACCCTGAGACAGGATGTAATGTGGAAAATGTGACAAATGTAGACTTGATTCCTCGGTTTGTTTACAGTCTTGTGAGGCTTTTTATGAGCAGCTCAAGTCATTAAAATGTTGGAATAAATAAATATAATCTGATGTTTTCTCTCAGTTGTACTGTTGTCGTCTCATTAGTCGCCCCATAGCTGTCTACGCTGCCATTACACGCCTTAAACTGCAGACTCCAACAGTCAAAACAGTCATTAAGCACTCTGTAATAACACAGCAGGCTGTGGGGATTAAATCTCTCTGTAATTAAATTACAAAATCATTTATGAAGCAGCGAACACGTCTGTGAGATTCTTCCTGCAGTGTTTATCTGTGGAGTCCAGACGACAGCAGCCTGACTGATGAGGACTGTGTATCTTTATGCAGCTCCAGTTATTCCTGTGTGATTGGATGTTTAGGCTAACAAGGTGTGTCTCTGAAACATGTGACAAGCACAAGAGACACTTTGCATTGTTGAGATTCTTTGAACGAGCTCAATGAGGACTCAGACACACTGGGTACATATAGTGAGGAGTTTAAGGTTATAATCTCACTTTTCTCACTTTTAAAACAGACTGACAAAAATCTACTAAATATATACAAAAGTTAGTTTTGGGATCTTTTTTTATGCCTTCTATGATAAATTATAGATTTATTTATTTATTTCTGAGGAATAAAAAGTGCAAACCACCACATATTTCAAGTAAAACTGATGTGTTTGCGCCTCGATAGTCAAAAAGCAGATAACGGCTGCACAGTTGTATCACGATTAACTGTCTCAGGATATATCTTTAAATTCATAATATGTGGACGAATATTTTAAAAATAATGTTAACTTGCTAATTATGGGAGCCGATAACCTTCAGCTGGGGTCTGTTTGAGGTTTTTCCTTGCCTCTGTCGCCAAGTGCTCGCTCATGGTGGGAACTGTTGGGTCTTTAATTGGGTAAATCCTTTTATTAATTCATTTTATATTCTTTGTATTGAAATATTGACTTGAATATTGAGTATTTACCAAGAAGTACACTAAATAGTCTTACTGTAGTTTGTATTAGTTTTATTCTTATATGGAGGAATATGTATTAAATACAAACATTGACTCATTAAACATGAACCACCGCCTCCTCAGGCTGGTTGTGTTGACAGATTTGAGCAAATTGACAAAAACTAAAGACATTTCCTGTATATTTGTTATATTTTAGTTATTTTACATCATTGTTTCAGTTTATATTTGAATTTCCGTTAACTAAAAAGGTTTTTTCACACTTAGTTTTCAGTTTATTTTCAATTAACTACTATTAACTACTAATAATCTCTCATCAACAACACAAAAATAACCCCAACAAACTAAACCTGAAGGATTTAAAGCTCATTTTCTTGTCTTCTCTTCAACAAAACCTGTTTCAACCCTAATGAGTAACAAACCAAATCCCACAAACAGCTGCTCAGTCTCATGTAACAACCACAACTAACACAATAAAGTGAGTCTACGTACCCAGAAGAGAAAGTTGAACACAAACACCAGGTATTTGATGCACTGAAGGGCCCCCATGGCTCTGAGTTTTAAGGCGATTTAAGAAAAATCCAAACGTTTGAGCTCTCTGTTGTAAAGTCAGTGTGGCTTTGTCAGTGTGGGAGGAAGAGAAGAGGAACAAACCGCACCCTGGCCTGGCTCACCTGGGGGAGGGACTGGTTGGACAGAGGAGGTGGGGGAGGAATACCTGCCCCAGCTGCTCCCCTGAGGTGTAAATCAGGGCAGGTGAGTGCAATTAAAGAGCAGGTAGATTAGTAAAACCCCATGACTCTGACTCAGGGTGAACTATTTATTCTTTCTAGATAATCAAACAATAGCACATTTTTTGGAGATAAACTGGTTTCCCAACAGAACAAACTTTACTTGTTCTCCCTTGCACAGCGAATTTCAGCTTCTTTCCTTCTGGACAGGGTTTAAATACCTTAAAAGTTCCAGCAGCTGTCAGTCAGATCAACACATTATAGTTACGTAAAAAAGAGTTTTTCTTGTTTTTATCTGCATTTCTGCAGCAGTGGTTGTTTATTTGTTATTGATTGCTCTTTGGAAGTCCTGATTTTTAGATCCTTTATCATTGTTGTTTGACTTGTTGAGGAATGCCTTATTGTCTCTTCCTGCAAACCAAATCGACCTTTGGGAACAAATAAAATATCACTGAACCTTGAGACCTTTGTGTTTACTCATGTGGGTGTTTAACACAGTGGTTTAATGTGTTTAACAAGTCTTTACTCTAAAATAAAATGTTGATAACCTGTAGTTTTTACACACCTGAGGGTATGAAAGTCTACCAAAGACGGATGATTTCATATTTCATAACTCTAACTGACATCACTATTGTTTACACAACAAACAAACAACAGTTCTGACTCTTCTAGTGTTTGAGGAGATTTAAGATGAAGATGAAGATGAAGATGTAAACATTAAATACTGTAGTGCATATATAAATATATAAATATATATGATCCCTAAAAACACACCAGTGACACGACACTGATATCTGAAAACAGAATCTAACAGAAAGATTCTGTTCACTGTTTAATGTATTTATGTGTTGATTTATGTGGACTTTAAGGTTTAATGAATGCTGTTGTGGTCTAGCTGTGCTTCAGGGCATACAGATAGTATATCTTTATACATATAATATATATATATATGTACACAGATATGAAAATAAATAAACTAAACCTCAACAGTTTAGTCTAGAAAATGATGAAAACAGAGAAAAATGCCACATTTACAGTGAAAAACAGAGAAAAGCAGCAAATTCTCCCATTTTGAGAGGCAGGAAACGACATTAACAGTTACTCGATTATCCAAATTGATGCGTAAGTGTCTGGGAAGTCTGTGGGAATACTGAGCGATAACAAAGAGAGAGACACAGACGGAGAAAGGTTTGATTACTGAATGAACAACGTAAATGTAAAATGTAAACAGTTTAAAACATATCAGCAGAAAATATGGTGGAGCGTCAGTATTCACACACACACACCTCTGTTGGGACTGGGGTTCAGTGTTTGCTGAGGTAACTGGAGCTGATCTCCTCTCCCAGTGGACCCAGTGAAACCAACAACACTAGCTTTGTTTCCAAGCAGCTAAAGCCTCCCCCATCTCTCCCTCTCTCTCTCTCTCTCTCTCTCTCTCTCTCTCTCTCTCTCTCTCTCTCTCCCTTCCTCCCTTCTTTCTCTCTCTCGGCCATCAGCGACATACTCTGTTTGTACTACCTGCTGGATCTGTTTGCAATCAGAGAGAGAAGTGAGAGGAGGTTGTTGTGGACGGAAGAAGACGCATAAAGGAGTAAAAACAAGGATGAGGAGCTCGGGACAAAAGAGGAGGATTTAGGTAAAAGCAGGGATGAGAAACATAAGAAGGAAGACTGATTGCACAACTTATCTGGTCTTTAATGTCAGATTGGCCTCAATGACGCCCCCTGTTGGCATCTACCAGCATTTATCTAAACTACTGTAAACCCAAACATGTGTCCAAGGTACAAACTACTTAATAAACTAGACCCACAGGTGAGAGCAGCGTTAAGCAGGTCCTCTAATTTAACTGGCGGTAAATGTAAATTCTGAGGTCTTTAAGGACAATTTAATAGCATAAAATAAGAATACTGTATTGATTTTTAGCTATTAGGAGACAAAATCCTGCAGCCAAACAACGATATGTCTTTATTGATCAACAATAATATAGAAAGAATAAAGAAATAGTTACATACAACTAGGGGTGAGTATTGGCAAGAACCTCACGATACGATACGTATCACGATATCGCGATATAAATAGGGATGAAAACACAAGTACCTGTATGCACATCAGATGATATTGATCAGAGGACAAATTGAGTCAAAGCTATTTCATTCAAAACAGCCTCTCCATTTTATTAATTTATGAATTATTAATTTCCTTTTATTAATTTAACAGAACATGGACAGTGCAGCAGCTGTGTTGTTATTGTTTGTGGCTCCTCTAAACAAGCTCAATGTGAAATAATAATGTTTTTCTACAGAAACACATTTCAAGTAATTCCGTTATTGCAAGTCTTACATTTCAATAATATTTTGCCATTTTCGCCTATTTAAATTTCAACAAGTGCTGTGGCATTTTTCTCGAGAATCCAGGGGCCTCCAGGGGCCTCCAGGGGCAGTGGCAGGCTAGTGTTATTGTTAGCTACATTAGCCTATTTAGCAAACCAGCTCGAAAACAAAACTTTACATTGTGTTGCACGCACAACAACACCGTGCAATGCAATATCTCGGCGTGGTGTCTTGCTAGGTGAACTCGCAAGTTCGTTGTGTTCCCACAATATTTCACGGCAGCGAGACGAGGCTTACAAACGACATTATCTTTATCCAACTCGTTGTTCTTACTATCTTTTTTAACTTGGAAGCCAAAGTGCTTCCAAACGTCGGCTTTAAACTGCGGAGGCGTTGTTATTTTGATCCTCAGCCACTCTCTCTAATACAGTCGCTCTTCGGCGCCATCTACCGGAGTGGAGGTACGGAAGTCGTACTGTATTCACAACGCGTCTAAACATAAATCATTATTCTTAAAAAAAAATTATCTTTGGAGTTGAAAGATCAATATTGTATCGGGCGGCAAAGTATCGCGATATATTGCTGTATCGATATTCTTACCCAGCCCTACATACAACATACAACAACCTTATTGAATCTCGTATTATATCGCTGTGGCGAAGTGGAAACCGCTGTTTGTGTTTATCATCGACCTTTTACTACGAGACCACAGAAGAATAAAACAGTTTTATCTCCACTTCCTGTTACTTTCTGCTGTTTACAAGGTTCATTATTAGAAGGTCGGTCAGTTCAGTTTATGTGAACTATTGAGGTTCAAACACCCTCTGCTCCACACTGTCACACCAAACTCCATTCAAAAAACAGCTGTTTTAAGGAAGGCGCATATTTTACCATATAAACACATTAGTTTCACCATCACTGGGATCCATATCTGATCAGCACTGTTTGACAGTTTGATCTGAGTTTGGTGCGTTGAGCTGGACGGACTCACTGAGAATGAGCTGTCAATCACAAGGTAGCCCCGCCCTAAAGCATACCCTGCTTTATGGTCTGTTTTACTCTAAATGGGACCATCAGTTACTAAATGAACATCATGCTGTATGGAAGAAGACTGAAACTAGAGACTGAGACCAGAAACTCATCAGGAAACTGTTTACTGAGCTCATAAATCAACTGAGAAGTCGACTCATTTCTCCATAAGACTGAATGGTAATGGAGCTGCCCCCTGCTGGCTGTTGCAGAGAATGCAGGTTTAAGACACTTAACAGACCCGGGTTGTGTATCAGCAAGAATTTGGCGATACAATACACATCACCATACGAGGCTACGATTCAATACATTGCAACTACTAAAATCGTACTGCAGCTTTAAATCAGAGTTTAATACGTAAGAAGATGTTCGTGTGAGGAAGATCTGTGACATTACAACTCCAGTAGTGTGAGAGTGTGCAGCACTTTGTACGGTAGTTAAACTGTAGAGGATCTTTAAGTTGCAGCGTGTTAAGCTCAGTACAATCCACGTTAGCATTATATGCTAATAATACAGGAACCTGAGGTCATTTCAGAGCTTTGAACTGAAGTTATTCTGCGTGTTCTCGTTCACAGATAAACATACATTAACTGTAAGGCTTTGGTGTATAGTGACATTAACATACAGTACTCTAATATTTGTATCCTGACAGTCTGAGCTACTGGATACCTGAATGGATTAATAAAACCTATCTATCTAAACACACAGGCTGTCAGAGTTAAACTGAGTTCAGATTAATTTTGTTCCGATTGGTTCAAACTTTAACATTTCTTTGCATCCTGAGTTCAAATATTTTCATTTGGGGGCAGCCACCCCATGAATGTTTCTCTACCCGCCCCTGGTGCTCCGCAGTTCCGATTAAATGGATAAAACTGCACAAATATTTAAGTTAGATTCAGATTTCATTAATTGTTTGTGTGTTTTTTATCTCTCTCTTCTGTTTACATGCTGCTTAAATGGATTTATTATCAGGTAACATCCATTAATGTCTGTTTGTTATTTAATAAAGTTACAAAATAAAATAAAAACTGCACAAATATCATAAAAATGTCAACTTTAGAAACAAAAACCACCCTCAGTGACTGATCAAATGCTCAAAGAGACAGGAACTAGTTAATTAACCTCGTTCTGACAATAACGTTATTATCAATAATTTGGATTTTATTGTCACTTACCCAGAAGACGAAATTAAAGATGAAGAGTGCGTATTTGACGCACAACTCCCAGCTGCTGAGAGCCGTCATCCCTGCGCTGTTTATCGGGGTTTAGCTGCAGAATAATCGGTGGAAGATCTGGATAAAAACCCGCCGCTGTTCGTCCGTTTGTAGGTGTTCGGCTCTGTGGCGCTCGGCTCCGTTCGGCTCTGCTCGGGAAGTTCCGTCAGCAGGGCAGAGGATGGGCTGCTGGGAGGAAACAGAGACCATCAACAACTCTCAACACCCACAGAAAAAGAGAGATTTCTGTCTTTCTTTCTGGCTCTTTGCTCCTTTTGTCCTTCTTACAACTAAGAATACATCCTTTGATTAACAAAAATGCCTAAATTGTGTTAAAAATGTGGCTTATTGTGAAAGAAAGAAAGCATTAATTAGACCTGGGAGCAGGGGCGGAGCTATGGGGTGGCCAGAGGCTAATATTAGCCCGTAAAAGCCCCCAAATTGCTGTGCAAAATGCAAACATTACTGTGACAAAGCATTAAATACAAATAAACAATACATTGTGTTTTTTTTAGTTAAAAAGGATTTGTGATCTGGTTTTACTTTAAAATCTTAAATAATTAATAAATCTACTGAATTGAAAGTAAAAAGTCCCAATAAATTAGAAAAAATCCAACATTGGTCATAATTTTGATTAAATGTACATAATAACACCAACCTTTGTATAAAAATATAAATAATAAAAAGTTATATGACACTTTTCTTGATTAAAAACAAAACAGACTTGATAAAGATGAATAAAAGAAAATATAATATGGTATAAAAACCACAAAAGGACAATTATAATAATTATAATTAATATAATAACTATTTAATGCAGTTTAAATGGATATATACAATTTAATTCATAATAGAAATATTTAAAATAAAATGGAATAACAATAATATGAGATGAAAACAATAATAATAAAATGCTTTAATATATTCAGATGATGTTATTTTTGTCCTGTAATCGCAGGTTAAAAACGAATTAAATCAAGAAAACCTGCGCATAAGAAACTATTATTTATCATAGAGAGGTGGACGAAACAAACAACGCCACTCAAACAAGTTCCTGTTCAAAATAAAAACAAGGATGATAAAAAAAATTACAAAGAAAAGAGAAAAAAGTTGTAGAATAACTGGAAATATCTGTGGTTCGGTCAGTACGGTCACATTTTTAGACCTTGAACTTTAAACCTCATTACCAGCCTTCAAAATGCCATAAAGGTCAACACCAACCATAACCAGTGTGTGTGTGTGTGTGTGTGTGTGTGTGTGTGTGTGTGTGTGTGTGTGTGTGTGTGTGTGGGCGCTATAGTCTCTCTCTCTCTCTGGTGGAAATGTGACTGTTTTTCTTCATCTGCAGAACAAAGACGACAGTGTGGCCGGTCAGCCCACGACCTTTGTTTGCAGCTGCACACAAACACACACTGATAATGATGATGAAGAAGATGAGGATGAAGGATGAAGGATGAAGGAGTACAGTGCAACCCAGCTGACCAGAACCTCGGCCATGGGAGTAAAATAACTCCCCGGACGCTGACTAATAGTGAAAACATCCCAGAGGAGTTTGTTTTCTGCCAGAGATTTACTACATTATATCAGTGCTGTACATAAACTTCATGTTTACTGCGCAACATTAAAGAAACAGTCCAATTATGACCACTTTTATCCAGATATGATCAAACTCACACCCTTACTGGGGGGAGGGGGGTCAGTCTATATAATAACTTC